AATAAGTTTATAAACATTTATTCCATCAGTCATTGCAATATCTCAGCATTCAACAACAAAACGCTAATGCAGGGAGTTTCAATTTAGTCCCCCAAAACAGTTTGACTGATTTCACAGAATCAGGGAAAAAAACCAAAAGCCCAGGCTTGGGAATTATTTACACCTGAGTCTGAATCCTGGTTTTTTTTGTTTGTTTGTTTTGTTTGTTTGTTTTTTTGTTTTGTTGTTGTTGTTTGTTTGTTTGTTTTACCACTCCCTGATTACATGACCTTGACACTGTTACTTGACCTCTCTCAGGCTTTGTTGCCTCATCTGTAAACAGTGGATACTGATAGTACAATCTTCACAGCGCTCCTGTGAGAATAAAATGGAATAATGCGTGTAACGAGCCTGGCACATAATAAGAGCTCAATCAGAGTTGCTATGAATGTAATCTTATAGGTATTCCAGTCAAAGCTGTTTGTTCTACAGGTATGGAAACTGAGGCCTAGAGAGTAAGACTTACCCAATGTCATGCAGCTGATCACTGGCAGGGCCTAGAGGGCTGAGGTCTCTAGACTCCCAAACCTAATTCCAGACCTGCTAATTAATTAACGCATGCAAAGCTTAGTGACCACAATCTTTCAAAAGCTGAAGATCCACTTCATTAAAACCTTGAAAGGAAAATTGCTCAAGTTGGAAATAGGAGTAGGCAGAAAGGGAAGGAAAGTAAACATGCCTGTGAAAGGTTTGAACTTGTTTTCCAGGTCAAACTGCTGCTTTCCCAGAACACCAAGGTCTACTTTCAGGTCAGGACAAATTGCATATTCTTCAATTGTCTTGCTGATTTGGAAAATTTTATCAGTAATTGCTTCTGGAGCAGGACCTGGAAATCAAACAGCAAACAATGAGTCATTTTGTGCAGCTCACATGAACATACACAAAGAATCCAAAGCTCATCAATTCCTCTTCATTAGCACATCTACAGTTGCATCATTCCGGCGGCAAAGTATAAGAATTTTTCTAAATGAAAATATCATGTTAATGATGATTCGCACACGGCTCTTCATATTTAGGTATTGCAGAATGAGAAGCATTTCACTATCACTAAAAGGAAGCAAAGGACTCTCCCCCACCTTACAAAGGATCAGAACCAGAATCCTGGCTTCCCGAGGCTTCAGGTATTGGTTTATCCTACTGAAAATAAAATTGTCTGTCCTCAAAATGACAGCAAACTCACCTCCATTAGAAATGTTAAATTTGATTCCAAAATCTCCATTGGGCCCTCCTGGGTTGTGGCTGGCTGTCAGAATGATCCCACCAATGGCTTTGATTTTTCTGATGATGCAGGAGACAGCAGGGGTGGAGAGGATTCCATTCTGTCCAATAACCAAGCGACCAATCTAGGAGAAGAAACCCAGAACACTTTAACGTCAGTAAATCCAGAGCTACCACACAGAAACACCAGAACAACAGGCAGATGGACAAAGAAACATTCTATCAGACCAGAAAAGGTTTTCTTTAATGAACATCAGGCAGCTTGGATGTCTCCACCATATAAACGAAGCAGAATCAACACTGTTGAACAAAGCCATTCCTTCAGATCATTTTTGGGACTTTGTAGTTTTAGAATAGTGTGTGGTCTGGGGTGCTGGCAAGAAAACACAGCATTTTCAAAACAGAGCCTTTCCAGATCAGGTTCACAATCTGGATACATTGAAAGATTGTGAGAAAGCCCACATTTTTATCCAATTCGATCATACTTTCAACACAGAATGAAAGAGAGGATATAGATTTAGCTAGCAAAAGGAACTCTACTCAAAGAGAAGTCTTCCGTAAGTTAAAATTTTTAAAAAGTAAAAAGGGCAAACACAGCAAGAACATTATAAAATGCATCTTATAAATTTATCTTTCCAGTCAAGCTTGGAGTTTTCATATAGTGGGTTTCCTCAAAGCAGGACACACCTACCAGCATGAGGGTGTACCTGGGTTACCCCCCGGGCCTCAAGCGAGACTGCTGGAAGCTATTACTGAGTAAACCAGTCAGACCACCTACATGAAAGGGTACAGGTGGGCTTTTGTTGCACCCTTAACTCACCTTCCCATATCCCTCAGACGGAATCAGCACAGCTCCTAAATCTTCCTTTGCTAAAAGGACAGTAATTTATAACTGTTTCAACATGACTCAAGTTGGAAAAGAAGGAAGTTCTGTCAGTTCCTCTAATATACCTGGAGGAGATGTGACCACTGTATAAAAGACTTATAAAATGGGGAGTTTGTGCATTTCCTCCACTCTCCTTTCTGAGAGAAGAGAGGTACGGGAATGTTTTAAATTTTTCCATTTATTTCTTTTTGCCCCACTCAAGATAAATATGGTTGAAGAAATGACTTGAAGGTAGAAGGTGTAGTTCTAATGTTGAAAATGCCAATGAGATACCTGGAGTCCCTGGGGAAAGTCTGTCTGGGGCTGTTAGCTTTGTCACCCTCCTATAGGTCACTGAAAATTCGACCGCCTTATAATCCAGCCCCTCCACTACCAACCACTTCCCAGGAAGCAGTTGGTCCATTTCAGTCACCTCTTGGTTCTCATATATGGGTACCTCAAGAAATTTGTGGAAAAACAGAATGAAAAGATAATACGAATCTTTCTATGAACTTTTTGAAGGTTCTCACAAGTCTATCTCTGAAGAATATTTGTTATATCCTTCCTCCCCCAAGAAATGGTAACCGCCAGGGTAGGTGCTGTAAGTAGGCTCCTTTACAGACCAGAGAATCCTGCAGATGGTGTGCAGTCAATGCTGATGATTACTACTGAGCTGCAGAGTTGTTTTTCTACATCCCATGGCACTTTCAATCTATTCTCACATTTGCTCCTCCAAGTACCATTGCACAATGAGGAAGCTGAGGTTCAGAGTTGTCACGATGCTGCCCATTCATTCATTCTTGTACCCATCCAACAGCAAGAATAACAAGCATGGATGGAAAGGTGCTATAGCAGACGCTGAGATAGATGACCTCGCAAGGTCATACAGCCAGTTAGTGGCCATAGCTGGGGAAAGCAATGAAACCTCCTGACTCAATAGTGGGAATGGTGAATCTCACTCTTCCAGCGGTTTCCAAGTGTGGTGTGCTTGTGATAAGAATAAAAGCCTATGTTTGGGCAGTTCCAGAATTTCCATGGGAAGGGCTTAGGGGCAGTAATTTAATCAGCCTTTGCACATCAAGCACACCAACTTTCACTTAGAATGTGTATATATTTGGTATGGAAGGACAGGTTGATGAATATTAACCACCCAAGGCACACCTGAATTCTACCATTCATTATGGTATGATCTGCGGTCACCAATGGTCTCTAGCTAGGGGAATTACACCAGGGAGTAAGAGTAAGAAGGGAAGTCGAGAGATACAAGCCAGGGAAGTCTATA